AAACTGAAAATACTCCACACTTTCTAACGATAATGTTAACTGAATGAAAAGACTTGACTGAGCAGCTGCCAGTGTGAATAAAATCGAGCAGGAGTAACGCATCATGAACTCACATAGCAGTCAGACGAAAAGCTTGATGATTGAAGTAATGTAAAACTCTGGCTGGCACCCAGGTGTCTCGTAGGTCAGTTGGGAGAGTACCGGGCTGTGAAGCTGATGGTTGCTGGTTCAAATCTCACCCCGTCTAAAGTCTTCATTTCACCTTCAGTTATCACCCAGTGTCAATAATTGTCTTCCAAACTACATCCAGGATAGAAAAAAGATGACGTTAACTTCATTTCAGTCTAACCCTTCGTATTGTAATTAACATATTGACTACTAACAGGATACAGAATGTACAACAGTTCGTCCTACTTGGGACCCGTCAGATGGATGTACCTGAATGTTGGCAAGTGATCATGTGCCAACTGAGACTCGAACCCAGTTTCTATCTATTCAAGAGCGTCTTGGATCCCACTGCTACTCACCAATATCCTCCAATTTGAAATTTACGTTTGCCCTTCATTTGATAAACAGCACTAAACAGCATAACTTACATAAGTAGATAAAATGTGCATAAATTAAGATAAATTTTCTTTTCCTAGTTCAGAAAAACAAAACAAACAGGATCAGTTCATTTTATTCAATTGAGCAAAGTGATCTCAAAAAGTCATTTAATCTTATTAAAGCGCCAAGTTATTCTCTAAATAGTGTGTTGTGTACTGTGAAAGGTCAATAAGAGATTAGGCAGTTGTTAGAATAAATGCCACAGCGATCCCCCCATCCCCAAAGCGCGGCTTTAAAAAAGTTAGTCTAAGTACGAATAAACAAAACATGTCAGAATGTCGTTTTTCTACCTTTTATTTAAATTTCTATAGATCCTATTTTTTTAAGTGCATAATAACCTCGCTTTCTTGATAGATTGGTCTGAATAAAATGACTGAAAAGTACATAAGAAGTAGCGAGAATTGTGATAATGTTCTATAGATCAGATTTATATTTTTCCATAATTTACCAATCTGTTTAAATATGAATTGACTTCAATCAATCTAATTCAAGGAAAATAATTTTGTCTGATGAATAAGAAACGCAGGTCGAGTGACACAGATAATAACCACAATAGTAGTAGTAGTAATGTGAGTAGTAGTAGTAGTGTGAGAAGTAGTAGTAGTAGTGTGAGTAGTAGTAGTAGTAGTAGTAGTAGTAGTAGTAGTAGTAGTAGTAGTAGTAGTAGTAGTAACAGTAGTAGTAGTAGAAGTGAAAGGAGTAAAAGAGGTATGCGGGAAGGATTATGTGTTTTCATCTAGTTGGACAGTTGTCGTTAAATATGGTACACTTTACACTAAGACCGTCATTTGCATAATGTGCTTTATTTCCTCTTTTGTTTCTGTCTTTATTTGCTCCCTAATATGGCCACATTCTCCCCTGCTTTCCTCGTAGCAGAATCCTTAACGATTGCTGGTAATTCGCTATGATTTCTGCTACCCTCTCAACATATACTACTTATATCCATTCTTATGACCAACGCCCACTACAGTAGTAATAACAGTGTTGATTAAAAATGACTGAGATGCTTTGATGTCCAAAGGACTACCTTTCTAGGTCTCAATGTATTAAATCTTAATTATGAATGAAGAGTCTCTTTTCATCAATTTCATTTTCAAAGCTATAAAACTATAATCACATTTTTCTAGTGTAAGGATTTGATTGTTAAGAATGGGTGGTTGAGCTTCACAATACAAATAGTCTCAATAAATTAGCTGTCATGTGGGCCACTAAAATGGATTCTGAGCCAGATTACCCAGAGTCTGCAACCACTGGTTTCTGTTGTAATATGGATCCCAACTGAGAAGTCTGCAATTCCATATTTGCCTCAGACCAGCAATCAAAGATTTCATGCACTGATGTTATGCTGAATTTTGGTTACTCCTAACCTTTCTCTAGACCGAACCTATTTCAACTAACACTGTATTATGAGGTAGGAAGGGACTAGGCATGCCTAACACATATCCCAGTGACCTGAGTCGATGAAGATTCACAGCCTCTCTGACTTTCCTTTCCTCCCAAAAACACTACACCTAACTTCTAGATTGTTAACACTGTGATGCTATGACATATGGCCTATTCTACGGAAACAACGGTGGTCAAATACATGTAACTTTCTCATGCCTTCTACTTTTAATAGCCATGTTACACAGCCGTATAGTAGAACTGAGCGAAATAAAGTACAGTACGCTTGCTCTTTAATAAGAAATCGGATATCCCGATGGCACCAATTGAACCTTTTTGTATCCGTGCAGAGATTTCGTCGACCACTGACTTACTAGGGCTGATCAGACTTCCCAGGTAAGCGAAGTAGGCAGTGGGCTCAGCTAGAAGAATAGTCAACATCAGCAGTCGGCCAGTGCTACTGGGTTTGTAAACGGTTCTTAAACTGATGTCAGTGCGTGATGAATACCACCTTAATTCTTCAAGATCATACACTTAGTATCCATCAGTTTCCATTATTAAAGCAAAACAGAAAAACATACAGCTGAGAAGTGCACCAAACGAATACACATAGCAGAGTGGTAATGGCCTTTGATTAAATTGTCATAAGGGCAGTCAAAATTTATTATACTAAAAGCGATGGAATAAAGTGGAATGGAACAAATTCATCCATTCAACTAGTAGATCAACTTCTGTCCCTTGGAAATATTGATCTCTTCGAGAGGAATTAATGCCATTTCAAAAGATACGTCCGAATATCTGAGACTGACTGATGTGCAAGCACCGCTTTATTGCTTGTAAAACAAGAAGTATGTCGATAACAACAATAATGATAACAATTTTACGCCAGATTAATACAAATAAATTACTTTCGGCTACTTATTTTCTCAAACGTTGCGTTTATGCATGAACTATGAATTGTTCACCCTGTTTCTATGTGATATAAACATTTCGCGTACAATTTATTAAATTTGTAATTTCTCGACCTCTGTTGTTGGCAGATGAGCTTCAATGCGGATATCTCGATACTGCTGGATAATCATGGTGTTATACTGATCTTGATGACTGGCAGAGGAACCCAGAACTCGTATTTCGTCCCACTTGGGACTCATCAGCTGGATGTACCCACATCCTAGCAAGTGTTGTTCCCACTGGGACTCAAATCCATTGCTTCAAACCCAAAGCGTTACCCACTAAGCCACTGTGGCATGATATCAACCTATTAATACCCGCTGCACAACAAGTGACAGTAGCTAACCCTCTGGAGTTTCATGCCGTGGGTACTGGTTCCAAGCCTCAGAGGGGATAACGACACTCGCTGGGGTGCGAGTACTTCCAGCTGACGAGTCCCAAGCAGGACGAAATGCGCACCCTGGATTATTCTACTAGTCACTAATATCAATGTAATTTACTAAACTTTCAACTTATCCCAATGGCCAAACTGCAAAGTTGGTGCCTAGGCTTTGATCACTTCTGAGCACCTAGAAGTTGACAGCCACATATGTTACCAATTTGTACCCACCTTGTTTCTATACTCTATTCCTACAGGAAGTCAACAATATGAGGACAGAATTTGGGCACTGTAGTAAAATACAATTGCATCATACTTCTTTGCTTATATTCATCATAAAGTGAAGCAGCATTACTTACAGAAGACGTTTTGAGCCAAATCAAATAACACTGCTGTCTAGTTTTGTCACTTAATCGTCTTTCATTCTTGGACTTCACATGTAGTGGTTGCAGTTTTACACATATTCGGAATAGGTGTTACATCATTTCTGTTAAATGTACTAGGTGTCGTTTCGATCAACAAAGCTTCAGTTAGTGATTCCTCTCTCCATCTTTAAGATTGTCAATGAATCCGATCTCATTGTGTAACTGCATGTGACAGATTGGTAACTGAAGCTTTTTAAATCCAATGGACACCTTACAAATGACGTAACACCAATTCCAGATATGTGGGAAATATTATGATCACTAAAGAATAAAAAAAATAGAACTATAAAACCGATTGACTGAAAAACTCAACGTAGAACCTCACACAGGAATGAAGCGGCTCCAGTTGCCACACTTCACAGTAGTTCACAAAGAACAGGTAGAGAGGAAAAGGGTGATATTAAAGCAGATAAACAATTTGAAGATAAAGGTCATGGCAAGACTCCAAGCTTTAGATGATATCAAAGCGTGAATACGCCTGCGCCGTTGCGACCGATTTACAGCCATGTCACCAACAGTCCCCAACCACTGATTTCTTTCATCTCGCGAGCTTAAACCAAGCATTCTACATCCCCCAATACGGCTTAGGTCAACAGTCATAGACTTCATGGACTGGTGTTAGCTTTTGATCTGACCATCATGAAATCCCTTCCAACCCAATCCAACTTCCCCTAGTATGACAGACACATCAAGGTAGGTGATGGATGGCTCGGGATACGAAGAACATGTCCAAGCCGTCTAAGTTGGTTAAGGATCACAACTTCATCAATCGAACTGCCTACCTTGTCTAGTACCCTACATCTGACCCCTACCTTTCTCACAAGGGGGATCCAGGCCAACGCAAGCAATACTACGAAAACACCTATGATAAAAAAATCTGTAACAGCTTCACTATAAAACTAGATCAGAAAGCTGTATGATTACTTAGGTATGACTATGAGCAATAAATCCTAATCCAAATACTATCGGTAAATAATACTATTTCAGTGTGCGATACATATAAAAAGAAATATAATAAAACTACAGGGAGTCAGACATGATATAAGTAGCTTAAACGTAAAATCTCTAACTTCAACTGTAACAGTACAAGGTTAGATAGTCCTCAAGATTTTACAAACAACTTTCTCATTGGTGTCGGTAGGTAAGAAATGTAGATTTGTTGCTACCTACAGATGATTCATAGTATCTAACACATTCTGAACTTCAATTTTATCCTTATTATCCTTTGTATTGGTATTGTTTTGACAACATTTCAGATTTGGAAGGATTATTACAAAGAAATAAACGTTTTGAAGACCTGTGCACTCTGTATAAAATCTATGAACCGGATACAGTTGTTACCCAGTGCTGTTGTATTGGTTGTACACAAGATTACTTAGAACAATTTTGTAATCCATAATAGGATATTTTTCTGATCTTGAAGACAATAAGAGACAAAACGTTATTTTATTTTTCACAATTGAAAAAAAATAAATTCTCACTGAAAGATAGTTTTTCTTTGTATATATCACATCAGAAAGGGAGTATTACCCACTATGTTATAATCTTTAAAAGGTCTCTGTTATGTAATGTCCAACTGCTATTATTAGTCCCTTGGGTTCCTAGTGGAACATAGGGCTTCAGTAGCACGTCTACAGTGAACTATGTTCTCTGAGATCTTTTGAACCTGGCTCCACGACAGCCCACAACCTCTCATTTCCTCCTCGCACGATCTCCTACATGTCACCCTCACCTCGGACGTCCAACTCGTCGCTTCCCCTGGGGATTCCACTAAAGCAACTGGCCTGATGCGTGATGTCCCCATTCGGCCTTCTCAGTGTATGCCCAATCCATCTCCACTTCCTCCTGCATATTTGTTGAGTGATAGGTTCTTGGTTGGTTCGTTAGCCGGCCTGAGCTTCTTGTTGCTTATTCTTATTATTCTGGCCATCTGATCTTCAGTAGCGAGCCAGCGTAGGTAGTTGTTGATGAATGTCTGTAGTTTATTGGAAATCCCTTTCGTAACGCGCCAAGTCTCTCAACCATACAGAAGCACTGACTTGACGTTGGTGTTGAAAATCCGGATCTTGTTCTGCATGCTGAGTGCAGAAGATCTCCACACTGGTTTCAGATTAATGAACGCCTGTCTTGCTTTTCCGATTCTAACTGGCTTTGACATCCTCGTCTGTGCCTGGGCCGCCTGTAGTTGAAACAGTGTTGCCTAGATAGGTGAAAGAGGTTACTTCCTTTAAGTTTCTCCCGTTGACGGTGATTGGAGTTTGTTGTTGTTGATGGTGGTGGTGCGGTATCTTCATCACCTCTGTCTTCTCTATATTCACTTGAAGTCCGGTCTTCGCTTCCCAGTCTCTTCTGTCAACTTGTTAGTTTTCGCCTGTAGATCTTCAAGTTTATGTGACATCAGACACAAGTCATCGGCGAAATCCAAATCTTCTAGGTTCTTTTCCGCAGTCCAGCCAACGTATCCCCCTCTTATCGCTCCCCACTGTTTGCTGCATGATCCAGTCCACCACAATCAGGAATATCATGGGGGATAGTAGGCAGCAGCCTCGTTTCATTCCTGTCTTCGCTTCAAAAGCATCAGTGAGCTTCCCATTGTGAATTACTTGGCATGTGGCATCTTCATATAGTTGTTGAATGAGGCGGAGAAGGGTTGGCGGTACTTTGTAGTAATGAAGCAGCTTCCAAATTACTTCTCGGTCGACGCTGTCAAAGGCCTTCTCAAAGTCGATAAAGTTGAGGTATAGAGCTGATTGCCATTCTATGCTCTGTTCTATGATGATGCGAAGCGTTGCAATTTGGTCCGCACATGATTTGTACTTCCTGAAGCCTGCCTGTTCCGGTCGAAGTTTTGAATCTAGTGCATCCTTTAGCCTCTCCAGGATGATGCGGCTTAATATTTTGCTTGCTCTGGGTGGATAGGAGAGTGATTCCTCGCCAGTTCTTGCAAACACTGAGGTCTTTTTCCTTTCTTCGGCAGTTTGACAAGGTAACCCTTTTTCCAATTTTTTGCCAGGAACCTTCCCTTCCTTCTACACCTTCTGCAATAGTGATGTGAGCATGTCCGCTGTTGTCTCTGTGTCTGTTTTCAGTGCTTCTGGTGGGATTCCATCTGGTCGTGCTGCTTTCCCGCATTTCAGTAGCTTTATGGCCTTCAGGACTTCCATTTTCGTTGGAGGATTCATGTTCACTTGTAATTCAGCGGCTGCAGGTGGTATTTCTGGACGAAGTGCAGATGGTGGTGGTGGTCGATTCAAGAGCTTCTTGAAGTGATCGGCCCATTGTTTCCTCTGTTTCTCTTCTTTCGTAATTAGACTTCAATCATCATCTTTTATTGGCTTCGTCTGCGTTGATTTCTTCCTAGATAGCAACCTGGTTATTTCACACAATGTCGTCAGTTCTCTCTTACCTGCAGCCTGTTCTGCTTCACTTGCCAGTGTTTCGTAGAAGTGTCGTTTGTCTTTCCGTGCACTCTTCTTCACTTCTTTGTCCAGTGTTAAGTACACTGTACTCAGTTCCTCTTGTCGTTGAGCATCCTTGCACTGGTTTATCTTCTGCTTCACCATCCTCCTCTCCTTTATCAGCTTCCAGGTATCCATTGAGATCCATTCCTTATCTTCTTTCTTCTCCCTTCCTAATGCGGTTATTCAGGTTTCGTTCCACTTCCCTTTCAAAGACTTCCAGTGTTCTTCCACACAGGTTTCTTCAGGGATGTTGCTCGATGTCTCCCATTTTGTCTTGATGGCTGCCTTGAAGATCTCCTTTGTAGTTTCATCCTTCAGTTTCCGAGTGTTGTACTTGAATTGAGGTCTATCACCAGCTTCCTTGAAGGCTTTTAACTTGATTTGGATTTTAGGTTCCTTGCACTAGATAGTGGTATGAACCTACATCTGCTCCTCTTCTTAACCTTGTGTTAAGTAGACTGCATCTCCATTTTCTTGAGATTGAGATAAAGTCGATTTGATTTTTAGTGTGTCCATCTGGTGAAATCCATGTCGCTTTGTGGATATCTTTGTGCCTGAACACACTGCCTCCAATCACCAAATCGTTGAATGCGCAGAATTCTGCAAACAATTCTCCATTCTCATTCATTTCACCTAGCGCCTCTCGACCCATGGTTAGTTCTCTTCCCGTGTTGTCCCCTCCCAGTTTCGCATTCATGTCACCCATTAGAATTTTGATATCGCCAACTGACATCTTGTCCAGTGTTGATTGAAGTTGTCTGTAGAATTCCTCCTTTTTCTCTTGCTCTGCATTATTTGTAGGTTTTTTGCATAACATTGTATGATTGTGACCTTTCTTCCTTTTGAGTTGAATCTTGCTGTCATGTTTTTTATCCTGGAGGAGATTGGTTCCCACTGCATGAGAGCCTTCGATGCTCTTGAGGACATCATGATAGCCACTCTTTTCCTCAGTGTGCTCGTGGTTGGCGTCTGGGTGACAGTATCGGAGTAGATTATTGATTTTTTTCTCCAGTTGAAGTTTGGAGAGTCCACTCCCATTTCATCTGCTTTCACAAATCCCAAGCACTTCGATGTTATACCTTCTCATCTCTTTTGCAATCTGGGCTGCCTTGCTGGGTTCAAACATCGTACGGACATTCCATGTCCCCACGTTTACTTTCGCTTTCATCTAGGGAGAGAAGACACATCGGCCAATTGGCTTCCCGAAGGCTTTCACCAACTGGCGTCATTTCGCCTCTCCGATTCCAGCGAGGAATAAGTTTGTTTTTATTTTTTATATATCGTTTGTACTTTGAAGTTTCTTTAGCGGTTAGATTTGTTTTACGTGGTAGGGTTGCTAGCCCTATGCCCAACCTTCCCTCTTTACCCGGGCTTAGGACAGGCTAGTAACTAGTAAACTAGTTAACCAGGCGAGGTTCTGCAGTAAAATACGCATCCTGATCTATGCCACAGCCACCACCACCTCCTGGAGTTGAAACGATGCTGTCTGACTAGGTAGGTAGGTAGGTAGGTGAAAGCAACAACTTCCTTCAGATTTCTCCCATTCATGGTGATTGGTGCTTGTCGTTGTTAGTGTTGTCGTTGTTGTTGTTGGCTGGCAGTCTTCATCACCTCCACCTCTGTCTTCTCTACCTTCACCGGAAACAAGTCTCATCTTCACTACCCTGCCTCACCTCTTCTACCCACTGGTTAGTTCTCACCTGTAGATCTTCGAGTTTGTGCGACAAGATATTAGACATAAATCATCATCGTTGGCGAAATCCAAATCTTCTTCTAGCGTATTTTCACCACATCGGTCAAACAGCCTATGCCGTCTTCTCACAGCTCCTCACAGTTTCTTGCATGATCAAGCCCAGTCCAGTCTAGTCCAATCTATCACAATCAGGAAGATCATCGTTGATAGTAGGTGGCAACCTTGTCTTACTCCTTCCTGTCTTCACTTCAAACGCATCACTGAGCTTTCCATTGTGAATTACTTGGCATGTCGCATCATATAGTAAGTATATAGCTACTGTTGAATGAGTTTCACGAAGATTTGTGATACTAAAACCGTAGTGTTGAAGCATCAGCCTGCCAAATCACTTGTTGGTGGACGCTGTGTAAAGCCTTTTCAAAGTCGATGAGGTTGAGTTAGAGGATTGAGTTTACTGCCATTCTATGCTCTGTTTTATGCTGATGCATAGTGTTGCAATTTGGTCAGAGGCCACCCATATTTAAACTTTACTTCAAGTCATCACCACTATAAAACCTTTGTTTAACACGGTTGAAGATAGTTAACCAGACGGTAAATCATCTTTCCATAGAACTCCATTTTCAGGCTTCATTTTCAAACAGTAATACACTATCTACTAAACTAGAGAAATATGTCATTCATTACTGAAACCAATTTCATTTAAAGAAGTGCCTGAAAAGTTAGCGCTATCAGTGACATGCTTCGAGATGAGACTTTTTGAAATTCTAATGAAAGGTTGTTACCGGTGGAGTAAACCAAGTTAGATTTGAGAAAAGATACTCGGCGATGGTACCGGATGAAGGTCGCTCTATATCGTGAATCAGCAGAGGTAGGGAAAGGTGGACCATTGATACCCACCACATTGACTGAATAGTAATATACACGCTGCGAGGTTTGAAGGTACTGGGTTCTATCTCTGATGGTGTTTTAGGTGTATAACACAGTGGATCTTCAACTGATATCAGTCTGTGATGAAACTGACATGAAATTGGCATACTGTTACAATGGTCCCTAATTTCCTCTCACTAAGATGAAGTAATCAGACAGTTTTACTAGAATTTTGACCACTACAAAGAATTTGTGACTGGTAATTCATAAGATAGAGTTATTTGACCGACTTTAAAGGTCACCCTAGCAACGATCAAAATAACCAATTAGGCTTCTTCATTTTGGCTAAAAAGGCGGATTTTCATTTCAAAAAATGAAGTCTGATTGGTTATTTCAATTGTTGTTAGAGT